AATATGACTAACTACAGTAGAGATAGGAGTAACCATGATAACTTTATTTAACTTAATGAATACAGTAAGTTGTAAACAGAAACGTAGCATTACCAGCATACATATATTCATATGCAGTTTTCATGTGTTGTGAAAAGCGCAAGCTATTGATCTAAAAATCTATTTATTCGAAGCTTAATTAAGTTTACCAAAATATCCTATTACAGGGACAAAGAATATCCAACAGGAGAGAAGAGTTTTAGACAGGTTATGAAAACGTTGAAAAAAGGGACCTTTATAAATGAGCAGCTTTTTACCATCTTAATAATTAGATCCATAACTTAACAAAACGCTCATGTTTATAAAAAAATAAAATAAAAAGGGTTTCTGTAGCCTGAATTATTAAAAAAAAATTATATGAAGATTAAAAGACAAAAGCATTATGACTGGAGTGTACCATCTTCCACTCTTCTGTTCTCCAAGTCTTCATTATCTCTGTGATGCATGTTTTTCTTTCTTTTTGTCAAAGAAGTTTGAAAACGGTACCTTTTATAGACTGTTTTTTTTTGTTGTTGTTGGATTGCTCCTTACCCAAAATATATTGTCTGTGTTACCTATAATATACACCGTTACATAACTGCGCATTACTTAACACCTAGGGTAAAATCAGTCAAAAGCAAATATATAACTCGGATAATTTGTCATAAATAGATTCAGTGATATTATTTTTCTTAAAGAAATAGGAGCATCCATATGTATCAATGTGTAGACGTAGTCATATGAATGACCGAAGTAAAGCCTAAATGACTGAAAGCCAGTACCAATACACACTAGGAAAGTAATCATAGATTTGGTGCTAATATGGTATGTATATGTGTTTAGATAGGTGGAGAGAAAGAAAGATACATTTCATTTGTATTTCATGAAATATACTCCATAGATACTTCAGTTCTCGAATTTTCTATTTTTTCCCCTCATGCTGTAAAATTTAATATCGCTTAGTTATAGATTGAACGTCTAATAAAGTTTAAATTACAAGTATCCAATTACTGAAAAAAAGCCCAAATATAATATTTCAGATTACTCTGACTAAGTTTCATATTCGTCTCGTGGTTTAAACGCAATTTTTGGGGTCTCGTAAAAAGCAAGTTCTGTTTGTTTTCAGTCAATGTGTTTGTTATAAATCTTAGGAGTTCTAGTGCGTTAGTACATGTTAATGTTGAATATTGGGTTTCCCATTTGCGTAGTATTTGACATAAATAAATTTCCGATACAATTTACATTTGTGAATACTTTGTTAACCTAAGTTAGCTTCATGATTTCAAATTACATTTTCAGTTTATTTGTTGCTCAATATGTCGGTCTTTCTGGCTCATTCGATCCTTTTATTGAAATAATTTTAAAGTCAATAAACATGTTTAAAAGCCAATCGTCTGCATGTACATATTTCCTGTAAGAGACTGCAAAATTGAATGAAAAATATGAAAATTAGAAATCAAATACAAATATGTATATGGTCTATAATGGATGATAAATGATAAATAAACCAAAAATATATTAATTTACTTGGTTAGTTAGTACTGACTGAGTACTTAAAATAAAATGTATTTTATTGCTGAGTGTATTGTATTTTTACGATGTCAGATTACTTACAATGAAAATTTATTGATAGTAAATGTCAGTCATTACACTTAGTGATCCTTCAATCCCTTCTCCCGGTGGCTTAGTGGTAATCTTGAAGACTTATAATGCTAAATATCGGAGTTCGATATGCACAGCGTAGATGATATTTTGTATAGTTATGCGATTAAACAAACAAATTTATTCTTAATATTGTTAGTTTAAATATTCTGATATTCAGTTTGTAATAAAGAAAAATATACATCCAAACATTTGCTCATGCTTCTGTGAATATCTTTGTACACAATATATAAACATGTGAAATCAACTGCTTTTGAAAAAGCGTGTACATAGTAATCAAAACGGTAGGCTTAAATCAAGACAGGGGCAAAGGCTACGTTTTTGGAGGTGAAGTTTGCAGCTTAACTGTTTATAATTTGCCTATTGTAGTACGATTAACTTTATATTTATCAATAAGATACATCTATAATGTTATATACCACTAGGAAATGCACTTCGTTGCCGTCACGGGGATGCGGGACATCGTGATTTTGTGTCATTTGTCATGCAGGTCTACCGAATAATAGATATTCATATTACATAATAGAGTTATGGTAAAGCTATTAAGGCTATCTGCCGGAGGTTCTAGTTCTAATCTACTGACCCAAGGAAGGCAACCGGTCAGCAGAACTTACCACCTCTCATACACACTAAAATATTGGTTGTCTCTCTTATAAGGCATTAACAGCTGAACGACCGGGGAATATTTTGTGGAATCGCACGCACTCGAACCCGGCTCACCAGCTATACCACAAGGCCAACTCAAGCCCCACATAAGATAATTATTCATTTGCTGAGAAAGCACCGGTTTGAATGAGACGTAAAATACGTTTAAAAACTGTATTTTTTTATCGAAGTTTTTTTCAATAAAATGGGCAAAATTGTTTTTAAGTTCCAGTAAATTGTTAAGAGGCTTAAGGCTTTTGTTGCTTTTTGTCTTTTAATTTAATATCTGCTTAGACGAACAAGATAATAAAACTATAGCGTGATAGAAATTAAATTCTGCAGGTAGATTACACAACATATTTATTTAACAACATGCTATTTGTACCAAAAAATGGAACGTTGTTGAATAAAACAGTAAACGTTGATAGCGTTTTGAGTAAATAACACATGATAGAAATCCATAGGATATTATGTTTCTTGTAATTTGTTGCACCGTATATACTCTTTTATGACTGTATTGATATGACCAGTTGATTCTACTATCAATGTGAAATTGTTTTGTGTGTGTAAGGCAACTGCACACTAAAATCGTCATGTTAAAAGCAACACAAATTGTGTTCTGTAGAACACACGTCTTGTGTTTGAATGCTTACGACACAAATTCAAGTTAAAAAAATATCATAATCATTTTTGGGTAAGAAAACAAAACGTTGTGTTTTATACAATGTGCATATACATAATGAAAATGGGAATTGACAACGTAACAACGTATTTACATAAAAGCAATTTTGAATTGAAAAACGCCCATACTTTATGTTTTAATAAAACTTGTATGTTTATAGCATTACAATAAACATTTGTGTTGTTGTTCACGCATTCTATGTTTGGAGAACACACTTTGTATTGATTTGAAATAACACGATATTCATGTTAACTTACAACACATTTTTTAGTATGCTTTGTCCAGTCAATAATAAACATGAAAACTGGAGAATTTTGGAAAAAGGTGTATTACAGATAAACCGCACAGAAATCATGCATTATAGAGTAGTTTAAAAACTCTCTGATAGTACCCCCCCCCCTCCAGTGGTTCAGCAGCAAGTCTGAAAACTTATAACGATACCAATGGTAAGCACAAGGGGGAAGAGGTCTACACAGCACCTGGCTTTCCCAGATCCCAATCAAGAGCAAGAGAGAGGTAGGTACATAACATATAGCCCAGTGTTCCATTGTGCTTAACAGGAAAACAAACAAATTACTATGTGGTTTTGCGAGAATATCTCTAAACAAAGAAATACATAAGTAACGAATACAAATATTAGTAGATTTTATTTCATTTTGTATAAGCAAATGCATATGAATGCAGGCTACCTGAAATCATTAGACTCTTGCTACCCTTTAGTTTTCTTCATAAAGTGGACTTTTTTTTGAAAACTGATACCTGTAACACTGGAAATGGATGTAGAAACTTGTAGCAATTAGAAATTGCATTTTGATTTAATTAAGGATAAAA